CCTCTATTTATGTACATATTCGGTGTAGTGTACCTACGACATCTGACATAGACAAGCTGCCTAGAGGCTTTAATCATGTCATTTCGGCATTAAGTATTGCCACTGAAAGGATTAACTTTCTAGAGGCCGTCATTGCTGCTTCTTCAAAGTGCATTTCTTGTACTGCAGTTTTGGACGTATCATGGGATGTCAGATCACTGCCGGTAAAATTGGGGTCAAACATTTGTTTCTTAAAATGAGAACTTCTGTTTATTGTAGTGATATCCCAGATGTATATGATGACAGCTTCCGAATTCTGACCTTCCAACCGCGTTACGTTTGTTTTCTGGATCTGATGCTTAATAAAAAAGGGTGTTTCTTTGATGTCGTTTGGTTTTGCCTGCTTGGAACCAAAAAGGAGAGTTAAAACGTCACGTCCTTTTTTCTTCACCCTCAATTGATTTGCTTTGTATTTAGTTAAATATTTAGGGTTCGTTGATTCGAGTTTTTAATTCGAGTTGAGATGTGATTTTATGTGAGGTTTTTACTGTAGTAAAAAAGGTAGATGCGACTGTTTCTAAGAGTTTTTTACTGTAATAAAATTCGAATTCTAAACTCAAATTAGTAAAATGAACGTAATTTTATTATATCGGTTAAGTGATTAACCACTAAATTGGTCGATCAATCAATACCATCTTTCAAAGAGTGGTCATCTTTCTTTATTATAGTAATATTTTTAAAAAGGTTATTTTCCCACATGTACCTATTCTCAATAGTATTTTTTTTGCCTGTTGTTTTACTTAAAGCCATAATTTTATCTGAGGAAAGTTTAAAATTCAAAGAGACTGGAATTTTAGTATGGAAGCTCAGGATGCGAGAATGTGGTCATTACTTTTAGCCCTTTAATTAGATTTCGCCACGTGTTTAATAAAACGTGTCAAGTGGTTAGGTGCGTGAATGTGTGCATATGTCCATTAAAATTTGAATTTAGGTAGTTCTATTCCTTGAGTAAAGTGGGAGCCATAAGGCCCACACTGTATTGAAAAAAAAAAGGTCTTTTTCGTGTGTTTTACGTCATTATGCCCTTATGACTTATGCTATTTACGTGGGTTGATCATTTGCGCTAGGGCTTTAAGAGAACGTTTGGTAGAGGGATTCGTTATCTGATTCGAATTATGATTTGTGGTTCACTACAGTATTCTCTTACAAAAAATACATGTAAATCAAATATAGTTCAAATCACATGATTTGAATCTTCCAACCAAACGTGACTGTGTTCTAGTGTGTCAATCTCCATGTTTTGTATTAAAAAGCTCTGAACGTGCTTGAACGATTCATTTAATTAAGGTGTCGTCGTATTGCTTGCTTCAGCATAGTTCAATTTGATTATCAAAACACCGTCATTTTCTTTATAAATTCTAAACAAAAGGTGGTCGTTTTAGGATTGTTTTCACTCCCACAAAAAGAAAAAGAAAGAAAATAAGGAAAAGAAGAAGAAGGGTGAATAAATGTTCTGCAGCCACCTACTTCAGTCATGTTCTTTTCTTGTTGGCTTTCTGCCACTCCTTGCATAAAAAACAACATAAAAAACAGCATAAAAAACAGCATAAAAAACAACATTTTGGTTACATAGTAAAGCACATGTTTTTCCTTAACCAAGTTTAGTATTGTCCATGTGATTTCTGTTTGCTTATTCTCCATTTTCAATAATCAAGAGGCTCTCTTCATGTGATTTCTTCCATGCTTTCTTTTCCTCTTAAAAAAAAATAAAAATAAAAAATAAAAACATGGAAGAAGCCAAATCATCAAATGATCTACAGGACAAGGCTGGTGCATGAAATTATTGATGATGAAGTCAACATTACCCATAATTTTTAGCAGCCAAATTCTGATATGTGTGTGTAGGATCTGACTCAGATGATATATTTTATGGGATCTCAAAATATAGAGTGCTGATGATTGTTTCCCATTGATTTGGTACACATCACAGCTAATAATGTTCTTAAGAAAGATATTTTTTGGCTGGCAATTCTAGTACTATTTATGCACTGTATTTTCCTTTAAAAGGTAATTCTTAGCCCTTTTGACAGTTTTTAATATGGTTTTATTTGAATACTGATCTAGGGGAAAATGCCCATTATTCCATTTTTTTTTTCCTTTGAAAGAAAACTGTCCAAGGAACTTTTTTCTCGTAATATTTTAACTCCCCATAAACCACAAGAAAGATATTTATTATACATTTCTGCATCAATTTTGATGAGGATATGGGAAATTGGATGAGGGTTTTTGGAGTAGTATAAAAATTAGGTTATTTAGTAGAGAGGATATTTTCAATGAATGAGAAAATTAAGGAAGATGCCCCAATTAACTGACCTCTATTATATAAATTATAAAGAGTGAAAATAAGGGTAGAAATCTTATATAATGTTTAAGAATGATATAAATCGTCAAGACATTGCTCTAGTTTTTTCATGAAAGAAGTGAAAAATCTATGAGGTATACTATTTTTTAATCCTTCCTTTTATTTTTCCCATTTGAATTTTTACCTTCTCCTTCTTTCTTTCTTTCTTTCTTTCTTTCTTTTTTTTTTTTTTTTTTTCCCATAGATGTAACAAACATAAAAGTTGACATTCAATGATCAATAGAATGTAGAAAAGGAATAGGAAACGATTATTATGGTTATAGAACATGAGTCACATACAGCTAGATATTATTTGTATATCACTTTCCCGTTTGAATAGAAATTTGTCTTCATTCCAAAAGATAAAATTCTTTTCCAATTGATAAGGTACTAAAATAAATAAATAAAGAGCACATTAAATGAACCAACCATACTCAAAATATGATATATTTTTGGTGTGTCACTATGAGGGTAGATTACACGTTTTTGAAGTCGGCTTAGTAATAGAACTCAATTTAGACAAGTAAATAGTAAAGATAATGCCTTTTATTACGAGAAATATCACAAAATTTAGATATTGACATAGTGAAAAGTACATATCGGGATTCAAATTTACTGTCTAATTTTTAGTGTCTAACCAATTAAATCACACTATATTATCTTATGACAAGCACAAAAGAATAAGTTAAAAAGCAATCTAAATTTTTTACATAATGTGGCATTATTTGATTAGTTATAGATAAATTAAAATACTAAAATTAGACAACATATTTGAGTCCTACACATCGAAGCAAAAAGCAAAAATAAAACTAGAAATTAGTGTCTAATTTTTCTTTCCTCAAAGTTGGAAAGGTCCAAGTTGCTCAATTATAAAGATTTATATGTGTATTGAAATCAAGACAAGTCCCATCTATATGTAAGAAAACAGTTTTATGATATAAACACTTGGACAGAGAAAGATTGGCCATTTCTACTAAAATGATATGATACACATTAGCACGATTTCCTCTTCTTAAGATGTCATCTGATGTAGCCTGTCACAACTATCAAAGTGCTAGAGTTTTAAGTCCCGTTCATTTTACCGATTTGAATTTTATTACAATAAAAAGTTACTAAAAATAATCACATTTAACTTTTTTGCTACAGTAAAAAACTCTCACATAAAATCACATCTCAATTGAAATTTAAAATTCAATTCAACAAATTAAACGAGCCCTTAATTATCATCCGTACCTTGTTTGAATATCTAGTAATCAATATTTGAAGAGAATAAAGTCTCTCCATATATATATATATATAATTGCAGATAAAATAGCAAATGATCCCTATTATTGTGCAAAAATCTTGAGAAATAGGAGGAGGTGAATTCAGATGTGGGCGTTCAAAATAGTCAAATCAATGGTTTAAAATGAATTAAAAAAACTTTATCAAGCACCATTTCAAACTGACCTTTTGATTCAAAATACATCAACCAAGTTACCAATCTAATCAATATTACGTTCGTTAAAAAAAAAATACTTTCGTTTCTAGACGGTTGAAGGCTTCCAAAACCGAGGATAAACATTTGTACTTAGCAAAAATCAGATAATCCTTTTGTTTTTTATTTTTTATTTTTTTATAAATTTTCCCAAGAGAAAAAAAGGGTTTTCAGGTAACAATTCAAATGATTGGCTGGAAAAGTAAATTTTGGGTTACCAAATTTGTGTTCTCCTCCTCACGTACACTATTCTCAACAAACATACGGTGAAACATTTTTGTAAATCTGGTTTAATCCCTATCCAGTAATCCAAGTCAGTGCCACGTAATCATAGACACTCCAAAACAAAATTTATTATTTTGTGGTCTGAAAGAAAACCACACGCAAGTTGCTGATCGCTGATATTATGGAATTCAGCAATTCTAACGAATTTATGCAGTAAAATCCTATTATATTATGGACAAAATTATTTAGTGCCGGTTTAGTTTAGTTGGTATATTTCAAATTTTTCTCTCGTAATAATTTTAAATAAATAAAATTTTCATCAATCATTTTTTTATAAAATTTTCATTAACGAATCAAAATTATTAATTTAAACGTATAAATTAAATATACCTTAATATATCAATGTTTATTTCACATCACGGTTTAAATAATAAGTTTAAATCGAAATTTAAATTTTCACTTTTTTTATGTACATGATTTTATTTTTCATTCGTTATATAAGATTTTAAAACGATCTCATCAATTCAATGGCTCAGATCATTTTTTTTTTTTAAAAAGAAAATCGTGAACACTTTTATCTCTTTTTATATTTTATAATTACTTTTTCGATCTATTATAGTATATCTATCTTCTATACAAGACAAAAATTGTAAGTATCTTTCCATAAAAAAAAAAAAAAATAGTAAATATCTAGCTCTACACTTTTGCACTCCCACATGCATATATAAAACCCTGGCCAAAAGGGTGTTCTCCATCACAAAGCAATCTCTCTTCTCTCACCTGTTGATGTTGCTTTGACACTTAGAGAGAGAGAGAGAGAGAGAGAGATGGCAATTGGGCAATGCAAAGACATTGAGAATGGTGAGATTAGGAACAACAGCCTTGAGGATTTGGAACAACCCTTCATTATGCAAGACAAGAGTAGTGTTATTGCCTATGAAGATGAAGAAAGTGATTGCACTAGCACTATTAGTGCTGATCAAAATGGATCAATTTGGATGGTTTTGCTTAGCACTTTCGTTGCTGTTTGTGGCTCTTTTGAATTCGGATCATGTGTAAGTATATTTTGTGATTTCCTTGAACTTTTTTTTTTTTTTTTTTTTGAGAATTATTAGAGAACTATTTACTTAAAAAACAGGATCACATTTTTCTTTATAGAATTTTCTGGTTTTACTGAAGTGTATTTTTCTTTTGTTGTTTGTTTTGTTTTGTTCTCTTCTGACTAGGAGACCAAAAAACAAAATAACAAAAACAGAACCCCAAAAAAAAAAAAAGGTTTGTTTAGCTTAAACTATTCTTTTGGCAGGTGGGCTTTTCAGCTCCCACTCAATCTGCTATCAGGGAAGATCTAAACCTCTCCTTAGCCCAGGTTTGTTATATTCTCTTTTAGTAAAAGAGACCTTTCCAGTTTATGAACTAAATTAAATTAAATTAAATTATAATATCATATGGAGTTGTACTAATTCTCAGTCACATTGCAGTACTCCATGTTTGGCTCTATTCTGACAATTGGTGCAATGTTGGGTGCTGTAACAAGTGGCCGGATTGCAGATTTCATTGGAAGAAAAGGAGTATGAAATATACCTCTTTTTATTATTATTATTATTATTTTTTAAATGAGTTGTGAAGCTTTAATATTTTTTCTACATATAAATTATGTGTTAAATTCCTTGGAAAATTTTGATGGGGTCAGGCAATGAGACTTTCAGCTGGCTTCTGCATCACAGGATGGCTAGCTGTCTTTTTTGCGAAGGTATTTTCATTCTGCATAATTGAAATATTCTTATACACATAAATATATATACACATAAATATATATGTATGTATGCATGTATGAATGTTTGTGTACGTATCACTGTATCCAGTTTCTGAAAGGGTTTGTAAAAACTCTGATACAGGGAGCTTCCTCTCTCGACATGGGAAGATTTTTCACAGGATTTGGCATTGGAATCTTCTCTTATGTGGTAAGTTTTTAAATTTGTTTTAATCCCATATTTTTGCTTGTTCTAGTAATGGTTTTGAGAAAGTCCTTCAAGTCTAATAATAGTTTTTTCTTTGGCACCACTAGATGATGGTATTTCAGAATATTAACATAGCAAAATGGATAAATAGGTTCCAATATTTGTAGCTGAGATAGCACCAAAGAATCTCCGAGGAGGTCTTACAACACTAAATCAGGTAGAAAAATAGATTTCTGTTTTTTTCCTCTTACAACACTGTATATGGACGAATTTTTAATAGTTAAGTTTCCATCGGTGGTTACCTATCAGATATAGAAATTTGATGAGATGGAATGAGCATTTAAGTATAATCTTTTTTTTTTTCAGCTCATGATTGTTACTGGAGCATCACTTGCGTTTGTAATAGGAACAGTCATAAGTTGGAGATCGCTAGCTCTCACTGGTAAATTTTGATTCTATAGTTTATTTCTTTCCTATTCCAAGGAGATTAAAAAAAAATATGAAGGGACTAACTGTTGAGCTCTCTTATCTGAAGGACTTGTTCCATGCCTTGTTCTACTCTTGGGTTTATGTTTTGTTCCAGAGTCTCCAAGATGGCTGGTATGCATTGGACCTTTTTATACTCAAGTTAAAAAAAAAAGGAAAAAAGGACAATATAATAATGAGTGTAATATCATAATTTGCAGGCAAAAGTTGGTCAGGAGAAAGAATTTCAAGTTGCACTTCAAAGACTCCGGGGCAAAGATGCCGATATTACTGAGGAGGCTGCTGAAATCCAAGTACTTTCTCTTTTGCCCACTACACCAACTAGATGTTTCGATCTTTTTTAATATAAATGTTTAAAAAATTGTCATGTCAATTAATATTAAAAGACTTCATCTACTAGTGTCTAGTGAAAAGATGACAACTCACTGCCACGCAAGTTGAGTATCGAAAAATTGATCCCTAGCACTACTCTTCATACTATAGAATCAACTTGTTCTAACAAAATGAGAAAAACTTTTCTTTTACAGGAATATATTGAAACTCTTCAAACTCTTCCAAAAGTCAGTCTGCTAGACTTGTTTCAAAGGAAATATATTCGTTCTCTCATTGTAAGCATCAAAGTTCAAGTTCATCAATTTTATGCTCTCATTCTTCTTAAGGTCCTGTTCTAATAACTTTCATGTTTCACTTGAATCCTAGATTGGGGTTGGATTGATGGTGTTCCAACAATTTATTGGCATTAATGGAGTGGGATTCTATGCAAGTGAAACCTTTGAAGAAGCTGGTACAATCATGACTCTTGGCACTTTTCTTTGGTATGGTTTTTCTGCTAAAAATTTTCTAATACCTATATTAAAATAAAATGCAGGACTTTCTGGTAAAACTGGAACCATTGCGTGGGCTTTTGTTCAGGTAATTCTCTCTCTCTCTCTCTCTCTCTTATTTTTTCTTCATCTAAACTTTGAAGTGTTCTTTAGTCCACCTAGACTAAACTTGTTTGAGAATTAATTGACAGGTCCCAATAACTGTAGTGGGAGCAATTTTGATCGATAAGTCAGGAAGAAGACCACTTATAATGGTAAGAAGTTTATCTAGAATTTCTGATCTCATATGAAAAACCAGCTAGAAAGACAAGCCTTTTATGAATAACAGTAATGGGTAATTCCCCATCTTCTTCCTTTTTTGTATGAGTAAAGAAAGACATGTTAATTTTGTGTGAAGGTTTCAGCAACTGGGATATTTCTAGGCTGCAGTCTAGCAGGAACATCTTTCCTTCTCAAGGTGGGTTACAAAACAGCTTTAAAATGTATTACGCTAAGGACCCGCAACTACTATCTCAATTTTAAATACTAATTGATGTGACATGTGAATTTTCATTCCTTTATCGATGGGTGTTTCAAAAAGTTGTCACGTCAAGTAACCAATAGAAAATGACAACTCACTTGTCGCGTGAGTTGGTATAGTAAAGTTGGGATCCCGAGCACAACTCCTTTAAAATCTCTCTCATCTCTCTTACTGTTATATCAGTCGCTTAACTTGTGTTTATCTTCTTGTGAAATCAGGCTCATGGTTTGCTGCTTGAGTTGGCACCCATAATCGCTGTGGCTGGAGTGCTGGTAAATAAACCATTTCAACTTCAAATTTTGGAGTCTAACATGATATTAATATGGCTGCTTTACTAATTTTCTGTTACCCCTTTTGGAAACAGATTTACATATCCTCTTTCTCAATTGGAATGGGAGCAGTCCCTTGGGTGATAATGTCCGAGGTAACGTTGATTAGTCCAGTCAAATCCATATTTTCATTATCTAAACATGTTAAGACCAAATAGCAAAGAACATAAAACAAATAATGCTCGAAAAAGTTCCTCAAGTTATCATCCTTTTATCGGCCGCGACAAATATTTAAACACCTACCACAGACGAAATAAATAAAGAAAGAACTTATTGCCACGTCAATTGGTAATAAAAAGTTGGTATAAGAATTGGTAATAGAAAAATGATTGGAATTGTGTGTAACTTTGTGTGACTTTTGTTGTGCTTGTAGATCTTCCCAATTCATATGAAGGGAGTTGCTGGGAGCTTAGTGGTGCTTGTGAATTGGTTGGGAGCTTGGGCAGTTTCCTACACTTACAACTTCCTTATGAGCTGGAGTTCCTATGGTAAAGAAAAAAGAACCAAAAAAAAAAAAAAACAAATCTTCTTGAATGATTAAGATTAACCCTTTTCTTTTATCTTTGTTCCCTTCAATTTCAGGAACTTATTTAATCTATTCCGGATTCTCTATCATGGCTGTTCTATTTGTGGCCGTTTTAGTCCCGGAGACCAAAGGCAAAACACTAGAGGAAATTCAGGCATGCATTAATGCAGACAAGAGAGTGGAGGTTTTGAACTAGTGAAAAACTTTTCTAAGAGTTTGGCAACTTTGTGTTTTCTTGATTCCTGTCCAAAATTATCTTCTCCATTAAATTGGTGACGAAAAGTCCTATCCGGTCATAGAAAGAAGGATTAATCAGCCACGGAATCAATATGTTCATGTGTTGAAGATCTTGGGCTTTTTGGGAATCTGTTATTATTTCTGCAGAGGAGAAAGCAGCTATGGAGCATTATTTGAAGCAATGGAGGAGCATTCGTATTTATATAGGTATTCTTGGTTTCATTTTAGAAGGATAATAGTGTTGGAAACGGCTTTGTTCAATGTAGAAAGAAGATTTTCTAGCCCTGCTTGGGCTGTTCAACCTCAATGTTTCCTTGATGAATAATAATATGAATGGTAAAGAGAAAAAAAAAAAAAAGATTTTCTTGATTTTGTTTCTTGTTATATGAGGACCATTAATGGTATAGCCACTGATGGCGATTCAGATAAATACGTCGAAGTAAACAAGAAACATGAAAAAAGACAACAATCCTAAAAACGACATGAACTTAGATAAGCGACGACCTCATGAGAACTTGAAAAAGAAATCACAGAAGGACGGTGAAACAAAAGGACGAGAAGCATTTGCAGAAAACGACGAGACCTGAAAATCTACAACAAATGTCACACGACATCAAATAACTGCAAAAGTGACAGACTATATAAGAAACGACGATAATACAAAAGCGTCAATAAAAAGTCCAAAAACTATAAAAATGAAATGAGAACAAATACTAATTGAAAGTGTATGCGTTAGAATTTTTACTCTTTAAAAAGAGAATACAGAAAAAATCTGAAAGCACAGAGAGAGCTGAAAAATCGCTACCATCATTTTTCTTAAAGAAAAGACTGAAGAATTGAAAGTAAGATAATATAAATTGACAGTAAAACATAAAACGACAGCTCAGTGAATAATCCAATAACCATTAAATGATAGTAAAAGATAACCAAAGAAACACTCTTTGAGTTGTGGCCGAAAGAAAAATTGTAAAAGTTAACATGTGAAAGAACGACCAAACAGAAGCAAAAAAAAAAAAAAAATGATGATAATAGTAAGTGTTAGAATACAAAATGTATAGTATTATGTATAGAACTTACCAATTTTGTTATTCTAGATGTGTGCCACATATATAGTTGATTATTTTGTACTAGCATACTGAGTATAAATAATATAGTTTGCCCTCAGCTCTGATTAAGCCATGTTTTCCTCATTTTTTCATCTCCGCCTCCTTTTTTTCTCTACCTGCACCATACTTTCTTTTTTGGTATCAGAGCCATCCGAGCTCCCCTCAATCCATTGATAATGCCCAAAAATCCTCAAAACCAACCTCAACCGGACCCAGCTGAAGCTCCTCCTCCACTTCAAGTTCAACCAAATCCTCAACCAAATCCAGCACAAGCTGCCCTCCTAGCTCCTCAACAAAATCAAATCCAACCTCTGCTCAACCAGATTCAAGTCTTCCCTTCACTCAATCAACCAATCTCAATGAAACTTGATGCTACCAATTATCTTTTGTGGCAAACCCAGATGCTCAACATCATTATTTACAAATGGTCTTGAAGGTTACATCGACGGTTCAATTCCTTGCCCACCTCAATTTCTCGACGCTCAAGGGCTGTAACTTAAGACGATTTTTGACAAGTTTGCTGCCATAGGAGAACCTTTGAGTTACAGAGATAAAATCATTCACACTTTCAGAGGTCTTGGTCCTACTTATGACAATATTGTTTCTAGTATAAGTGCTAGACCTGACCGACCTCCCATGGAAGAAATACACAACATTTTAATTAATCATGATTATTGCCTTGAGGAGTAACAATCTATTGATAACCTTGGTCTCACTCAAGCCCAGCTAACTCAATTAGCTCAACTCAACTTGTCCCAACTTTCTCAACCTAAAGCCCCACAGAAACCGTATTTTCCAAATTCCACAAACAATTTCAAACCTCAGAATTTCTCTCCCAACTACTCTAAACCACCAAATGCTACTCGAAATCAGAACTTCCACCACTCTCACTTTTCCAATAATCGGCTTGGTATTCTCAGAAAGCGTAATGTTCCTCAAACCTTTAACTCATGGCCAAAACAGAACAACAGACCACCTGGCCACCGTGATCAATGTCAAATCTACCTTAAAATTGGGCACACTGCCGATGTTTGCCATCACCGAACCAACCTCAAATATCAGTCTCAAGTTCCTCAGGGATACTTTGGTCTCAATCTTGGCATATCAAATGGTCAAAGCCAACCAAATGCCTTTGCAGCCATGCTTGGTACATCTAATGGCTCCCTGCTAGCTCATCTAGCGAAACACCATGATATCTTGACTCAGGCGCCACACATCATTTCACTCCTGATCTCAGTGCACTTGGCAGTCCTATGCCCTACTTTGGTAAAGATCAGGTTAAGGTAGGCAATGATAAGAAAATTGAAATTTCTCATATTGGCAATGTTTTCATTAAGTCTACTTCTAAGTCTATTCACCTAAAACATGTTTTCCACACACCTGCCATTTCTAAGCAATTATTAAGTGTTAGTAAGTTGTGTCAAGACAATAAGGCATTTGTTGAGTTTCATTCTACTTTCTTTCTTGTGAAAGACATCCACTCGAAGGAAATCCTTCTGGAGGGACATCTTGAAGATGGTCTCTACAAATTGCTTCCCTCATCCGTGTCTGCTCAGTCTTTCCCAACTTCGTCAAGTCCAAGCCACTCCTCACATCAACTTTCCTTACTTCATGTCTCAATCTAAGTCTATCATACACAACTTCAAGATGTCAATTTATGGCACAATAGACTAGGACATCCATCTTATCCTATTGTCAATAAAGTGATGAAATTATGTAATTTAAAAACTCCTAGTAGATCTTCTGTTGAATTTTGTGTTTCTTGTCAATTGGCTAAAAGCCATCAGTTACCCTTTAATCAATCAAATTTTTGTGCTACAAAGCCCTTTGAACTTGTTTACTCAGACTTATGGGACCTTCTCCTGTTCAATCTGTTACTGGTGCTAAATATTTATGTTTATTTATTGATGATCATTCTCGCTTTACATGGCTTTATCTACTTGATGCTAAGCACGAAACCTTTGCTACATTAAAAAAGTTCAAAGCTATGGTGGAAACTTAATTTAACACCAAAATACAAGCATTACAAATGGATTGGGGAGGTGAATTTCGCCCTATCAAGGCCTTTCTCGCAAGCTTAGGGGTCCACCATAGACATCCTTGTCCTATCACACCACAACAAAATGGTAGAGTTAAAGGAAATAACCGTCATGTAGTGGAAGTAGGGTTATCAATGCTTGCTCATGCCTATGTTCCCCTGTCTTATTGGCCATATGCTTTCCAATCAACAGTGTACCTAATAAACAGACTTCCAACCCCGGTCTTACACCTCCAATCACCCTATGAAACTCTATACCACAAAATTCCCTCATATGAGTTTCTCAAGGTCTTCGGATGTGCTTATTTCCCATTCTTCCGCCAATACAATGACCACAAACTTCAGTATAGGTTAGCCGAATGCATTTTCCTTGGTTATAGTAACTCTCATAAAGGCTACATTTGCTTAAATCAACACATATACAGAATTTATGTATCGCATCATGTCATCTTTCATGAGACATCCATTCCTTTCTCTAAACCTTTTATAACTGCACCACCTCCTAATCCCTCTCCCTCCTTACCATCTCTATCTACTTTTTACTCTTGTCCACCTTCATATACACCCCTTCCCTCAAACCTTTCTTCACCTTCCCAAGCCTGTTCACCCTCTAGCACAACCCATTCATCTTCACTAACTTCACCCTTACCTACTCCCTTCTCTCCTCCCTCTTCTCCTCATCCACACCAATCATCTCATACCACTTTTAACACTCCTTCTCCCTCTTCACCTATTTTGGAGACTAGTCAAAACATTGCTTCAATATCTGGATCTTCAATTGACTCACCACTAGTTACACTAGGTTCTATTATTCACGTCACTCCCGATAATACTAATGTGCATACTATGGTGACTAGGTCTAAAATTGGGATACATAAGCCCAGGAAGCTGTTTAATGTTCAGATTGATGCCACTTCTGCTTAGGCCCTTTCAGAGCCAGTAACTTATAAGCAGGCTGCCGCAGATCCCCAATGGCAAAATGCAATGCAAGAAGAGTTTAATGCCTTACTTCATAACCACACTTGGACCCTAGTGCCGCATTGTCCTTCTCAAAAGGTCATTGGCAGTAAATGGTTCAATCGTTTGAAGCTCAAACCCGATGGATCTGGTGAACGACACAAGGCTCGCTTAGTGGCCAAAGATTTTCTCCAAACCCTTGGCCTTGACTACTTTGATACATTTAGCCCTGTGGTGAAACCGACAACCATCAGAGTGGTGTTATGTCTAGCTCTTGCTCACAACTGGCTTATTCGACAGCTTGATGTGCATAATGCATTTCTCAATGGTACTTAACCGAAGAAGTTTTCATGTCTTAGCCCCGAGGATTTGTTGATCCTGTTCATCCTGATTATGTATGTAAACTCAAGAAATCCTTATACGGCCTCAAACAGAGTCCTCATGCTTGGTACACCAAACTTAGTCATTATCTCTTACATTTGTGCTTTATTAACTCTAAGGCAGACAGTTCAATGTTTCTCTTGAGCACTCCAACAGACACGGTAATTGTATTAGTCTATGTTGATGATATAATTATTAGCGACAGCTCAATCTCTCTCATTCAACAGTTGATTCAGCATCTGAACAACCACTTTGTACTTAAGGACCTTGGTCCACTCCATTATTTTTTGGGCATTCAAGTGTCTCATTCTAAAGACTCACTCCACCTTTGTCAACAGAAGTACATCAGTGAGCTTCTTACTTGAGTTGACATGCTTGATTGCAAGTCTGCCTCCTCCCCTATGGCTTCTGATGCAACACTATCTCTATATGATGGAGAACCTTTGGTTGATCCTACACCCTATCGGCAAGTTGTTGGAGCTTTACAATACTGCATCATAACTAGACCTGATCTCAACTTTACCGTTGGCAAAGTCTGTCAATATAGTATGCTCCTACATCATCTCATTAGGCAGCAGTCAAACGAATTCTTCATTACTTGTGCGGTTCACTTTCCTATGGCATAACCTTTCAAGCCTCCTCTAATTTCGCTGTCTCTTATTTCACTGATGCCGATTGGGCCTCTAGTTCAGATGACCGCAGAGTTACCTACGGCTATTGTGCTTTTCTTGGACCCAACCTCATCTCATGGTTGTCCACCAAGCAACATGTAGTCTCTCGAAGTAGCACTGAGTCTGAATATCGCGGTCTCGCTAATGCTAGAGCAAAAGTCTTATGGCTGCATATTCTTTTGACTGAGCTTCAGATTCCTCTCAATCCTACACTAGTGCTCATTTGTGATAATATTAGCAGACTTCATCTTGCAGCCAACCCCGTGCTTCATGCTCGCATGAAGCACATCGAGATTGACTACCATTTTGTGCGTGAACGAGTTATGGATAAGATTATCACTGTTGAATACACTCCCTCTAATGATCAGCTTGTCGATATTATGACTAAGCCTCTACCTTCTAATTGGTTTCTCTCTCTACGCAGCAAGCTCACTGTGGTGCCTCACCCCATTCCCTTGAGGGGGGATGTTAGAATACAAAACAATTGTGTACAACTGAATGTATAGTACTATGTATAGAACTTGCCAATTTTATTATTCTAGATGTGTGCCACGTATATAGTTGATTATTTTGTACTAGCATACTGAGTATAAATAATATTTTTGTCCTTAGCTCTAATTGAGCTAGGTTTTCCTCATTTTCTTATCTCCGCCTCCTTCTTTTCTATACCTGCACCATACTTTTCTTCTGTAAGAATGATAATAAAAACAATAAATAACTGCAAAGGTTGCTTCATAAAATTTGACAAGAACCAAGGACCTTTAAAAAAGTGAAAGAAGTCACTAAACGATAATTTAAAAAAGATGACGATATTTAAAAAAAAGAAATCAATTGACTGCAAAATAAAAAGGATTTTTAGAGTGGCAACAACCATTTAACGACCCTTTAAAACAAAGTGTAAAGTTGCCAGCAGAAATCACTAGAACAGAAGACAAAAAAAATGAAAACCTAGTAATAGAACGACCATACAAATATGAAAACGACAAATAAAACTATAGGTGCAATAAAACGACAATTTATGTAAAATGAAAAAAAAAAAAAAAACTAGAAAATGATTTACCATCCAAAGAAAGACATAAAGGTTTAGAGAATAGACACCAATCATGTAAAAAAAATTGAAAACAAAAATAAAACAAAACGACGATAAAGTGAGAAACGACAATGAGATATAAAAAACCTGAAAACGACAAGTAAAAGCCACAACGATGGTTACAAGACAAGAAGAGATGAAACCAAAAATGAAGAAAAAAAAAACCATTAAAACCCTGAAAACGACATTCAAATATAAAACCACATAAGCGACAACATGACATAAAAATAGAAAACGAATAAGAGCAAAAAATCTAAAAACGACACTAAAGCATAAAACAACCAAACCTAACAAACGACAATAAGTAATAAAAACTACAAATGCTTGCAAGTTGAAACGACTATCATCAGAAAACGTTATGGGAATTATGTTAGACGACAACAACATGAACGTGCAATTCAGAGAGATCCGTAATTTGCAAAACCAAAAAAGGAAATAAAACGGTAAAACGACAAGCACCTGAAAAAGGAGAAAAAAATTTAAAATGCTGATAAAAAGTAACAATAATAAGATTTTCTTTGTTTTTTTATAGAAAAATAAGAATAATAAAATCCTGAAATTCTATAATTTTAAGAATAAGAGAAACTTGAAAAAACAAATACAATTAGAAAAGAGAAAATTTTTAAAAAACAAATGAGAAATTATTTTTTTTTTTGTTACAATAAAGCTCTTCCTTAAATAAATTAAAAAAAAACCTTTCATCCCAATAAAGATCTTCCTCCTCCCTCTATTCTTTTATTTTATTGTTCATTTTTGTTTTAATTTTTGAAAAGGCTCTCTAAACGCGAATATCAATTCCTTAAAAAATAAAAATAAAAAGAGATAATGATAGAATAATTTAACGATATTGGAATTTAATTATTAAAGGTTAAAATGGATTGGCGAAAAAGAAGAGGTCTTGATATCTAAATTACGAAAAACCCATAATCGTAACTGAGAAAAAATTAAAAATGGTCTTGCCTGGGGGGTAGATTCGTCAAATCATACACAAATAAAAGAAGATTCTATGATCAATCTAGTTACCTCGGAAGAATCCAACCAAAAATCCTCTCCCAAAAAGAGAAAACGATATTTTCTTGCACACCAAACAAACAGATTTCTAAGGAAAATTCTTCAGACGAACAACGAAGAAAGATGGCTTCTTCGACAGCCAAGATAACGTTCCGAATAGCAATGGTGGTTCTTGTTCTCCTCCTCTTCTTCTACGTCGGCCGTCCTCTCTACTGGAAGATCTCGGCCACCGTCCACGACATTCGCCAGAACAAACAGACCGTCAAGGAAGGTCAAATTTCTCTCCATATCTTTTTTCTTCCTCAAAAATTGAAACAAAAGAGGACAATTTCTAGGGTTTGATGATTTCTCTGATTTTTGTTTTTTTTTAAAGGTTTATCGCAGATCGTAATGGAAGCGCAGCGAACGGTGGGTTGGTACCACGACGAGTCGGACTCGGGAGCCCGAGAGGGCCGGTTCGGGAAGAATCTCCGGTCGGCCACGAGTCGAAAGTTGCAGGTTTTGCTAGGGTTTTGAATTCGCATTATTACTATTTTGTGTAATTTAACCTAAAAATTTTATTAATACTGCTGTTTAGTTTTTTGATGTGATTATGTTCAGATCTGGTTAGAATAAATGGAGCTCTTTAATGAGAGTGTAAAAAAGAAAAATTTTTAATTACTTGGTTTAGTTTTAGTTTAGTTATTTAAGTACTTGTTTAACACTTTTTAAGCTACTTGTTAGAAAGTGTAAGAACAGAACTATATATATAAATGGTATGTTTATTGCCAATGCCTTGTTTACTTACAAGGATTTTAACACTATCGGTATTCTGTTTTAAACTGTCATATCTATACATGTTAGATTTTGTCGTTTTGATGTAAATTTGATCGTATCTAACATTAAAAATATGCATTATTGGTTCGGATACCCTGCCATAAGAGGCACCTTGAAATAATTGTATTAAATGATGTTGGAAAGATTTGGCCTCGTTCAGTTCGCGGATTCGAATTTTTAATTTGAGTTAATATGTGATTTTATGTAAAAAATTTTCACTGTAGCAGAAAAAGTTAGATGTGACTTTTTATGAGAGCTTTTAACTGTAGTAAAACTGGAATTGAAAACTCAAATAATAAGCAAAAAAAAATAATCATGTATCTATCACATAATAATTAAATTTTATAGAAAAAGTTATGTTATATGCAAAAAAAATTTCTTTGTTACAATTAAAACCTATTCAAAACTATAATGTTTTGCACACACTAACTATTTATGTAAAATTTTATATTATTATGCGATAATAATGTGATTATCTCAGTTAAATTTCAAGATCGTTCATTAATTTCACTGTCATGGAAAAAATGTTAAAAAAAATGAAATTTTAAGGACTAAATATGCTACAATTAAAAATACAGAGACTAAAATGTCACTATGCTGAAAGTCATAGCCTAAGGTAGCTATTACTAGTCTAGTAGTTGTTTTTTTCTATTAGTTGCGATGCGACCAGGCGTTTACTTATGAGATTAGTTGAGTAGGCTTGCGTTAGTTGTCTGCTATAAGATAGCTAGTTTTGGGGCTTTCGACATAAAAAAGCCTATCCGGCTTGGCTTCGCTATCGCTCATGACTTGTATTGTAGTCGTAGTCTTGTAGTCGGCCCGGAATGCCTTTGTAGTCTTTTTAATCCCCCACTGCGGATACTAACCTTCTTTCTTTGAGGAGCACAATCAACAGCACTTCCAACGCCTTCATCGGAGAAAAAGCGGGCAAGGGAAGTCGCCGGGTAGTACTCTCGGGTCATTTTTTTCCCCCTTACCCAACTGTGGGAGAAGAAGGATTTTGGAAGCAGTCCCCTCCTACGGTTTGATGATTGCTTTAATCAAGAATGGGTTATGCATTAAATCATCGTGCCCTTCTACGAACGAGGGAACCGATTAATTATATGGCCACCGCTACGAGATCGTCCGGTAAAGACATAAAAAAATCACCCACAAATGGTGTCGAAATGGCGATTGAAGCGTCGGAAATAGCCAATGCGCTCATATCTCGAATTGCACTCCACCCACTACCACTACCTTCGTTCCTTATGATTCTAGGGGTTTAGGATAGGAAGAGGGCTAAGCTCAACTCAAAGATGCTAAATAAGGGCCTTCATTATAATAGCTTTCAATGCGCATTGAGCGAGTAGTTAGTTCAGTTTTGTATGACTCGTTCCCACAGTTTTTCCGTGAAGGCTCCGGAGCTCTCTTTTCTTTTCAGGATGGAACGTTTGTTCAGGACCACAGGACGGGCTAGGGTCCCGTTGAATTATACCTACCTGGTAAATCCCGCCACAGAGGTAGTTTTCTACCTCTCGAACACATAGATGCCAAGCTCCTTTTCATTAAGATTTTAGGACTCCTAGTTCTTTTTTTAAATTTAAGGAAATATTGGCATTAAAATTGTTGTTATTAAATACTTTATATCACTCTTACAAGATACAAGGTAAATGGTTTGCAACCGTTCTCATAAACAGGCTGTCAAAATAGGAGGTTTTATTTGAACCTTTTTCCTTTGAAAATACATTTGAATAAAGTATACAAACAAAATGTATTTTCATTAACTTCTTTATAAATTTACAAAATTGTACAATTTTTTGACCATGTACAATATGCACGCGCTTGAGCTCGCGCGAGCATATATATTTTCTCCCCATCGAGAGGTTATTAAAGTAACTAAATTAAATAAAATTCTTGTAAATTTTTTTTTGGAAAACCACATAACTTTCATAAACTGTATATGAGCAAACTCCTGAAGCAACTCAACCAACCACTAGAGCTACGCATCCACATGTGCATCTCAAGAAACTACATGAGCTAAAATTGAGAAAGTAAAATCTCTATATACGTGTTCATAATATTAAGGCCGGGTTTGAAATTGATTCCGTTTTTATTTTCATGTTTTTCGAGAAAGAAAAAATAAAAACGTTTCCAAAACGACATTTGACGCAATAAAGACAAAAAACGAAAATGAAAATGATTTTTAGTTTAGTGTAAAATGAGAGAGAAATAAAAAATGACTTTTAGTCATTTTTTTTATTTTTGTTTTCATTTTTTCCTCTCTCGAGCAGAGAGAGAGAAAGATAGATAGTATTGAGTTTTTTTATACTGAAAACAATCTATTGATAAAATTACCAAACACATTTTCAAAAATGATTTCTCTCTGAGATTGAAAACAATTTTATTTTCATTTTCATATAAAAAATAAAATCATTTTAAAACGAGTTCTAAACGCGCCCTAAACTTTCACATTCTAAACACTTTTATTTAATCATTTACTTTAAAACTCATTCCCTTGAATAAAAAAAAAAAATCAGCCCAATTACAAAACTTAGCCTGCCAGTAAATAGGCCATGGGTTTTCCAAACCTTTTCTTATTGGCCATATAGCATAAAGTGGTTACCTTTTTTTTTTTTTTTTTTTTTTGACCCTTTTGCCTCAAAGGGTCTCGCCACTATTATTTGGATCCATCAGTCCCTCCCGCGTCCATTGCCTACCCAGATATCAAACTCAATTTTATACCTCATTTCAATAAACATAAAAGTGTACATGGTTTTACTTTAGTAAACATGTTAAATTCTTGAGTTCCTTTTGTTCATAGACATGTAAAATGGCAATGTCAATCAAGTATAATGACTTTGTGTGTGTTTGAGATTACTTTTGAAACTCTCAAAAGTACTTTACACAATAAACGATGCAACTACTTTTAAAAGTACTTTGCATAATAAACGATACAACTATAGTGTTTGGTAGAAGTACACAAAAGTACTTTACACATAAATTAATGTACTTTTTAAATTATTTTGAAAAGTTAAAATGTATAGTTTTTAGATTCTACTTCTATTTCTATTTTTGATTTAAGTAAAAGAAGTATTTCTATTAAAAGCACATTAATTATTTTAAAAGTACGACAATCCCAAACTTACCCTTTATGCATAATAATCACATCATACATGTAAAAATTTACCTCATAGAAAATATTGTTTCTTGTCATGGTTTTCAAAATCTAGATTTTACTTACCTCTTGTCCAAAATAGCTTGAGAGTGAGTAGTGAATTTTCCTTTTCAGAAACTTGATGTGCTAATAGGTCCTAGACACACACTTTAATCTATCACAACCATATAACAAAGAATTGCAAACTAGTTTTTCAAAGCATCTTGCATATATAAACATTCTCTGTAACACTTGAAATTATACTATATATAATCCCATGTCATTCATACTTTCAAAAAGGACTTTACAAATTCATAAGATAATACATGGTTGCAAATAATACTCCTTAATTTAGAAGTTCAAAAAGTAAGAAATTAACTTCATAAACTAATAATAATAAATCTGCAAGTGAAACAAGTATGTTTCAGATAAGTAGACATATAAGAGTAATTTACACTCTAATTCATATACACAAACATAGATAAAATCACAAATTAGATACAATTTATCCATTTAAAGAAGTTATATTCACCCGTAACACAATCAAGTATCAAATGGAACATAATATAATCGCAAGCAAGTTCGGTTCTAGCTAACTAAAGCATTTGTAAACAATTTCAAACCCGGGGAGAATATCAAATTAATCCTTGCAAATAAAAGATCGTTATTGAGTAAAGTGATAAGCAAGGATCATTGCCCCAGAAGATTGTTTTTAATTAATTAATTATTAATTTTGTAACACTAAATATGAAAAGAGGGTTTTGATCAATTATACTAATAAACTGAAATTAAAAGAAAACAAATCACTAATTAGAGATAAAAGAAAACAAAAATTAAAAGACCGGTTAAAAAATCATTCTCAACTATTGGACAATGAAATTATGTTAAATAAACAATAGTATCTCTAACTTTCTATTAAAACCATCAACCCATAGATAACAATAAACTCTGCTATAAATATGATCATCAAAACACTATATGAAATATCTTGATACAAATTTCCGACAAGTACTCAAAAGTGCAAATATGATCATCAAAACACTATGAAATATCGAAAAATTCCGTTTTACAAGTTTTGGAATAAACGATTTTTGATTTTAGGTACTTCGATGCTTGAGTCAGAATTGATCTATAAATCGAAAAATAAGAACAAATTAAGGAAAAATTTAGCAGCCTACTAGGCCGAAAATTGTCAGGATTGGGCCGGGCCATATACTGACCCTGAGAAAGGCCAAAACCAAAAGAAAACTTACCAATTACCCACCTATAACTAATTGGGAAAGAAAAAAGGAAAGAGTAGAAAATAAGTCGAAAAGTTTAAGAAATTATATAAGTCAATTTTTAGTTATAGAAATTAATAGGTCATAACTTATTAAGTTATGATTCATAATCAGATAAGTTATGGATAAATTTGTTAAGTTATGGTTCATAGCTAGACAAGTTATGGACAATTATGGACAATAATTTGTCAAGTTATGGTTCATAACCAGACAAGTTATGGACGAAAATAATAATTTGGCCTATTTATTAACTTATGTAAATTATTGACCTATTAATTTTAATTCATCTCAAATTTTGACCTATATTCTTTTTTAGTTAGCTATATTTTCTTTTGGCTATGTGGAAAGTGATTGAAATCTCAGATGAAAATGGTCTAACCTTGCCGACACAGGAATAAAATAACACAATATTTTTCCACAAAAATTCGATGTGTTAAACATAATGGAAGCT